TCTGAGAAGAGAAGAGAGAAGAGACTGGATTTATACCCCGCCCTTCTCTCGGAGTCTCAGAGCGGCTTACAAACCCCTTTCCCTTCCCCTCCCTACAACAGACACCTTGTGAGGTAGATGGGACTGAGAGAGCTCTGACAGAAACTGTCCTTTCAAGGACAGCTCTGACAGGACTATGGCTTGCCCAAGGTCATCCAGCAGGTGCAAGTGGAGGAGTGGGGAATCAAACCCGGTTCTCCCAGATTAGAGTCCACACACTTAACCACTACACCAAACTGGCTCAGAACAGAAGAAGCCTGCTGGATGAGACCAAAGATCCATCTAGTCTAGCACTGTGTTTTCTACAGTGGTCTATCACATGTCCCCAGAAGGTCTGCTAATAGCACAGTGAACAAACCATCCTCTGTTTTGTCTCCCATCTACTGAAATTCAGAGGTACACTGCCTCTGAACATGGAGGTTCCATTTAGCCACTGTGGCTCTACTTTCAGCCTCAGCCTGCAGTATGGGGATTTATTAGGGTCACATTAAAGAGATTAGCTGTCTTTTCTTGTCTGGATTACCGATATAATTATGGGAAGCTCTTTGAACACTCGAAAAGCAGCCTGTGCTGACAATCTTATGCACATTTATCTGACAGCAAGTCCTATTGAACTCAACAGGGTGGATCTAGGCTAAATTTTTCCTAAGGCAGAATGGAACTTTCCTCCCTCCTCCCTCCCTCCCACAGCAGCCCACTGATCTCCAAGAAATATGGCTCTTGGGGGACAGGAGACCCTGAGGACTCATATGAGTGGGGTCTGCAGCAAGAAGGGGAAATAGTAGGGTTGCCAGGTCTGGGTTGGAAAATAGCTGGAGACTTTGGGGGTGGATCCAGGAGCGGGAGGGGTTGGAGGGGCCTCAGCATGGTACAATGCCATAGAGTCCACCCAGAGAGCCAGTTTGGTGTAGTGGTTAAGTGCACAGACTCTAATCTGGGAGAACCGGGTTTGATTCCCCACTCCTCCACTTGCACCTGGCTGGATAACCTTGGGCAAGCCGTAGCTCTGATAAGAGCTGTCCTTGAAAAAGAGCAGTTTCGGTCAAGAGCTCTCTCAGCCCCACCTACCTCACAGGGTGTCTGTTGTGGGGAGGGGAAGAGAAAGGAGTTTGTGAGCCGCTCTGAGACACCTTTGGGTAGTGAAGGGCGGGGTACAAATCCAATCTCTTCTTCTCTTCTTCTTCTTCCTTCAAAGCAGCCATTTTCTCCAGGGGAGCTGATCTCTGTCAGCGGGAGATCAGTTGTAAAAGTGGGAGATCTCCAGGCCCCACCTGGAGGCTGGCAACCCTAGGAAATAGTCCAGATCCTACCCAATGGGATTTAAATCTAAGTACACCTGCTTAGGATTTCCCCCCATAAATGCTTACTATTGTTACTCTAAAGCAGGCCCATAGCTACAATGGGGCATTTCGGGGCCTGGACCCCCTACTTACTGTGAAGGCCTTCCAACTTCCCATCCAGCCCAGACCTCCCCCCCCCCCAACTTCCAATTTTTAATTTTATTTGTGGTGCTCTCTTGGGGGTGCGTGCAGGGTGCCCCCCAACTTATTTAAAGGCCCCCCGAATTAAAAAATCCTGGCTACGGGCCTGCTCTAAAGCCTAAGTCTTATAACAGATGTAGCCTATGGCAGACCTAAGAAAAAGCTTAGTGGGTTTGTACAGATTTCCAGACACTACAGGAAGCCAGAGGGGCTGCAGTGGCTGAGTGGTTAAGATGCTGAACTGCAGACTGGAACGTCGGTAGTTCAGCAGTTTGAGACCCAAGTGCCACGAGATGGAGTGAGGTCCGGTCTCTGGCCCCAGCTCCTGCCAACCTAGCATTTTGAAAGCAAGAAACTGCAAGTAGATAAATAGGTACCGCTTCAGTGGGAAGGTAACAGGGCTCCGTGCACCTCGGTGTCTAGTCATGCCAGCCTTATGATCATGTGAAACATCTTCAGACAGCGCTGGCTCTTCGGCTTGGAAACAGAGATGAGCACCGCAACCAAGAGTTGGATTCAACTGGCTTTTGAGCAAGGGAAACCTTTACCTTTTTTTACAGCAAGCCAAGTAAGGTGCACGGCCCGGCCCATGTCATTCATGCCACTACAACACTTACGGTTCATTTAAGATATATATATTTTAAAATCTTGCCTTTCTACTGTAGAAGCTCTCAAAGCAGCTTACAATTAGAGTTGCCGGTTCCTGGAGATTTGGAAGCCTCGAGAAGGCAGGGTTTGGAGAGGGACCAAAGCGGGCCATAGAGGGCACCCTCCAAACCAGCTGTTTTTCCCCCCTGGAAGAACTTATCTGGAAACAAAACTGTAACTCTGGAAGGTCTCCAAGCAACATCTGGAGGTTGGCAACCCTATTTACATAATATTAAAAACAATACTAACACTCAATATAAAACAGATACAATAAAGCCAGCAGTAAGAACATAGACGTCAAAGAAGCACTTTGACCCTATATGTGGTTAAAAGTATGAGTGAACAGGAGAGACCTCACCAGGCACTTAAAAGACGATAACGAAAAACTGCATAGGGAAGGATTTCTGCAAGCAAGGGGGGCCACCACTGGAAAGGCTCTTTCAGGAATAGGCCTTTGAAGGAGGGTGTATCTGCAGAAGGGCCCCAGCAGATTATCTTAATTGCTGGGCAGGTTCATAGGTGATGGTACCTGCACCGTTTGCACGTAAAGCATATTTGGAGCTACAGTCCTTCCCCAAGAGGTCTTTTACATATCTGGGTTATATTAACCCATTCACTGTGAATAGGTGCTCAGCACACCACTGTACCTCCTGGGCATCTTGAAGTTGATGGGCAACAGGTACGGAACAGAGAAAAAGAAATACTTGACTCAACAAGGAATTACATCATGGAATTCACGGCCAGCAGAGGTAGTGATGGCCACAAACATAGATGGTTTTAAAAAGAGAGATAGTTCCCTCAGTGGCTACTAGCCATGGTGAGTCAAGGGAACCTCCATATTCAGAGGCAGTAAACCTCTGAAACTCAGTGCTAACAGACAACATCAGGGGAAGGCCTTGGCCTCTATGCCCTTATTTGTTGGCCCTCCAGGGCAATGGGTTGGCCGCTGTATAAAGCAGGATGCTGGACACCCTGATGCTGGACCCTGATGAGGGCTTGCGTGTTCTTATGTTCATATTGTCTGGGTGTAAAGTGTCATCAAGCCATAGCTCATGGGGTTTCAAGCAGTGTTCCCTCTAAGATGAGTTAGTGTGAGCTAGCTCACAGTTTTTTAGCCTCCGGCTCACACATTTTTCTCTTGGCTCAGGACGGATGGCTCCAGAACAAACTGATTTATGCAGTAGCCAAATCGCTCGCTCACAGCTTTAATGCCAGTAGCTCGCAAAGCAGAATTTCTGCTCACAAGGGCTCCACAGCTTAGAGGGAGCATTGGTTTCAGGGCCAGAGACTTTAGAGGTAGTTTGCCATTGCCTGCCTCTGCACAGCAAGAGTTCATTGGTGGTCTCCCATCCAAACACTCACCAGGGTCAACTCTGCTTAGCATCTGAGATCTGGTGAGATCAGGCTACCCTGGGCCAACCAGGTCAGGGTATGTTCATGTTAGGACTGCTTATATGACCACTTTTGTATCCAGAGCTTTGGCTGGCGAGGTGGAGGGGAGAACGTGCCATTTCACCAGGTCTAGAGAACCCCATCACTCCTTGGCAAATAGAAGGGGAAGTCGTGGAAGTAGTGACAGACTTCACGTTCCTGGGATACCAGATCACCGCAGACTGTGACAGCAGCCATGAAATTAAGACACCTGCTCCTTGGGAGGAAAGCGATGGCGAACCTCAACAGTATGATAAAAAGTAGAGACATCACCCTGCCAACAAAAGTCCGCATGGTCAAAGCAATGGTATTCCCAGTAGTCATGAACGGCTGCGAGAGGTGGACTATAAGGAAGGCCGAGTGCCAAAGAATAGATTCTTTTGAACTATGGTGCTGGAAAGACTCTTGAGAGTCCCTTGGACTGCAAGGAGATCAAATCAGTCAATCCTAAAAGAAATCAACCCTGACTGTTCCCTGGAAGGCCAGATAATTAAACTGAAGCTCAAATACTTTGGCCACCAAATGAGAAGGGAGCACTCACTGGAGAAGACCCTGATGCTGGGAAAGACTGAAGGTCAAAGAAGACGGGGACGGCAAAGGATGAGATGGTTAGACAGTGTCATAGATGCAACAAACATGAAGTTGAGCAAACTTCAGAGGACGGCAGAAGACAGGAGGGCTGGCGGGATCTGGTCCATGGGGTCGCAAAGAGTCGGACTCGACTGTGCGACTGAACAACAACAACAAGAGAACAAGTCAGCAGGTAGGGTAGCACTCTTCTGTGTACTTTGTGTTCATGACACAACAAAATGCAACTTCCTCCCATTTGGCTTTCAAAAAGTGACTCAGGGGACTGCCTAAGACCTTACCTAAAGCAAATGAGAGGCTAGAGAACTGATAGCCAGGGCAGCTGTGTTGAAAAATGCATGCCAGACACATACAAACAGAGGATCCATTCCTATACATGTAATTCAATCAGGTTCGGAAGTAAGGATTCAATTGGATTATCTATCCACTCAGATAACCGAACCTGATCAGGCCCTGGTATAAGAGAACTCCTCGCTGTGCCCTAACAAAGGAGCCTTGTAAAAGCAGCCGCTGAATGTTCGGGACCGCTTGTTCTTCCAGTGTATTTCTCTGTGGCACAAAGGCATCCTAATGCCAGCCTGCCTGTCTCTTTAAGTATTTGAAGGGTGTTGGAAGCAAAGGGGAGTTGCTGCTGTAAAATAAGCTGGAGGGAGAGAGAGAGAGAGGGAGAGAGAGAAATTAAAAAGCATGTGAACTGGAGCTACTTGAGTGGGTCTGATAGGCTCCCCAGCCGCGAGTAACTGGGTTACGTAGGCAATCAGCTCCACACAACTTGGGCACCTGCGGAAAGAGCTGATCCAGAGACAAGCAGGGGGGGAAAGGCAAGTTCTCCAAAGCTCAAAGAGCGGATCTCTGCTTTCCCCACTATACCAGCCTCGTGTTGCCTGGAAAGCTCTCCGTCACAGTGGCATCCAGGATGGACTGCTGTAATGTACGTACAGATTTTGTACATTTTTTTTTGTTAATGCACAGAAATTGTACATGAGCTGGTGGTGTAAAAGATTGCAGCGGGGTTGGATGTGCCGCTGTGACTTTTATTGCTGGAATGATGTGGACTTGCTTGAGGTGTTGGATCTTTCTATGGGGGTCGATGACTCTTGGGCTCTTGACCAGTATGCGCTGTGGGACTCTTGTGATCTTTGGAAACGGTTGCACTTTAAGCCCATTGCATTCGCCAAGCTCTTCGGAGCCTGTTTCCTTTCCAAACGAGATAAGCTTTGTCTCAGATTTCCCCCCCTCCCCATTGCTTCCCAAAGAGGTTGCTTTGGGACATCGGCTTCTCTGCATGGTAGAGTGATTTTTTTTCCCCTGTTGCTGAAATTTTAAGCATGAAATAATAATAACGGGACTGGCAGAACACTTAGTTTGTGTGTGGGAGTCACTGTTTATTTCTGTGCCGGCAAACTGGGGTGAAAAAGCAGGGAGGGGAAAAACCAAAGTCTTTCTGTTGGGGGAGAACAAGTGGCACTTGCTAAATAAAAGCAAGGAACAGGGTTGGGGCGTCCCCCCTCCCCTTTACAAGAATACTTGCTAAAAGGCTGAAACTTCGGACAAGCAGAACTGTTAGCAGGGATAAAAATGGTCTGGGTTTTTGAACAGTAAGAGGCTGGATTCATATGGGTGAGGAAGATATCCTGGGGAGTTTATTCATATGGGTGGGGGACGTATCCTATGTCGTTTATTCCCTGCTATTCCTTAAGTGTTGAGCCTTCAGAGAGGCATAGATCCGGAGCCCACTCTCCTGTTTCAGCAGTGCCCACACAAGCCGTTGCTAAATAGCTGGGGACACAGGAGCTCAGCCTGTTCCACAGCTCCTTTCACGACAATTTCTCACCCATGAGGGGTAGCGCATGAAGGCAAAAATCTGGCCATGCTCTTGGAAACAGGAGTGGGGCCAGTGGCTGTACATCAGCCAAATGCTGGCCGGTATCCACACATGAAGTGGTGTGTAGCATTGTGTAATTGTCGGAGCGCTGGAGTGGGACCTGGGAGACTTGAGTTCAAATCCCCACTTAGTCATGATACTCACTGGGTGACTTTGAAGCAGTCATCCTCTCTCAGCCTAACCTAATTCACAAGGCTGGAAGAGGAAAATGGGCAGGAACCATGTACATCATCCCGAGCTAAAAACAGAGGGATTAAGGGCTCTGAGGTATAGGAAGGTAAAGGGAAGAGTGTCAGAATAAGATCTGGGGGACGTAGGCTCAAATCCTTGCTCTGCCATAGCGCACATGGGTTGCCAACCTCCAGGCGGCACCTGGAGATCTCCCGCTATTACAGTTGATTTCCAAATGACCAAGATCAGTTTCCCTGGAGAAAATGGCTGCTTTGGAGGGTGGACTCTATGGCATTGTACCATGCTGAGGCCCCTCCCCTCCCCAAACCCCACCCTCCTCAGGCTCCACCCACAAAATCTCCAGGTATTTCCTCACCCACAGTTGGCAACCCCAGCTTGCTGGGTCAGCCTAACCCAACTCACAGATTGTTGTGATGAGGATGAAATGGAGGAGGGGAGAATAATATTGTACGGCACTGTAGGTTCTCATTGGGGGATAAAAGTGGGGTATAACTATCAATAAAGTTTCTCAACAAGGTAGCCAAGGTCTGTGTTTTGTCCCCCTGGTAGGGCTCCTGTGACTTTTAATGTCTGCACGGCACACCAAAAAGTGCCGGGTGAGGCTTTTCCCGAGCAGACAAGTCCAGCATCTGTTTGCCATGCAGATGTTAAAAGCCTAGGAGCCTTGCTGGGAAATATAGGTAAAAGTCCTTCTATCCACACCACGGTTTGTATATTTAAGGATGTGAAAGATGAAAGGCTTTCTTCTCTTTGCAACATAATGCCGCCATCTGCCACGTGACCAGTGTTAACCAAAAGTCTGAATCACTGTAAGAGCCTGACCCAGAAATCCATCCCTGCCCATGGAGCTGAAGGAGGAAGGATTTGACGTGCACATTGAATACTTGGGTTGGAATTTCCCCATGATCCAATTTTCGAAGCCAGGAGATTCTAGCACTGACGTCCCCGTGGTTCCCACAGGACTTGGTTTTGTTTCCAGCAACTTCAATTAAGAGATGGCAGAGTCATATTGCATTGCATTAAGTGGGATCAAAACCAGGTCACTTGATCGCAGAGAGCAAGACTTTGCACCGTCTCAGCATATGTGTGGCTTTTCGAACGATGAGGGCATCCAAGAGCAGGGTGGATGGACTGGTGGGTTGGCCTAAGCTGTTCTGGAGACAACGCGTCCATTGAGACCGCAGCAATGCTCCTTAGAACTACAAAACAGGTAGATGGGTGCATGGCAGGCAGTTCTCACAGAGACCTAAGATGAAGGAGCCTGGACGCTTCCATGCTACAGTTCCCCTAAAACACCACAGGTCCAGTTCAGGGCAGGGGTCATTTCCTGCAGGAGTGCACAGGAGCGGAGCTCCGGCAGTGAAGAGCCCAGGGGGCAGGCACATGCAACAAGCCCCACCCCCCTGCTCCCAGCAGCCCTCAGTCAAAGCAAGAAGCAGCCAGGTAAGTTGCAGAGCTCCCCCCGGCCCCCCGGTCCAAAACAGTCCAGTGGCACCTTTAAGACCAAGTTTTATTCAGGTACAAGCTCTCCCTCCTCTGCGATGACAGATCTGCACGTTCCCCCCCCCCACAATAGCTAGAAATACAGAACAGTCCAGTGGAGCCTGAGGGGTGGGTGTTGCCTTCTGACACACTTCCGGTGATGTCAGGGGGTGCGGCATATGCAAATAAGTTATGCTAATGAGCTCCTGCACCTCTTTTTCTACGAAATGACCCCTGGTTCAGGGTATTCTTTCTTCCCAAGCAAGATGTGGAGGGAAAGCAGCATGGTATTGCCCAATCTTGTTAGAAGCTAAGCATGGCCCGTACTTGCATGGGAGACCACCAAGGAAGGCTCTGCAGAGGAGGGCATTGGCAAGCCACCTCTGCTCCTCACTTGCCTTGGAAGCTGTTTGCTGGGCTGCGCCATTCAGTTGCAACTTGACGGCACCTGGATAGGTATGTAAGAAAGATGCACCCAATGCCCCTTCCTGAGCTACTGCTGACTGAGTCTGAGTCAAGCCCCTCTGACCCAAGAGCACAGGTGCTTGACATTGACCTGTCTAGCAATCAGCCAAGTCCTGTAGGCGATGCTCATTGATGGCCAGGAGTGAGCTGAGCCTCTGGGCAACCTCTCGGGTAACCTCTCCTTTGTGGCACCCCAAGCAGCTGCTAGGGTGGCTCAGCTGGAGAATGAGCATTGAATCCCCAGAGGCAGGCCTGTCTGTCCCATGTAGTCAACATAGGTTGAAGCTCCTCAGCTTCCTGCTTAACATTTTCAGTTTTTAGCATGGGACATCACTGACAAACAAAACATTACGGGTTGGTATCCAAGGAACTTGAGCCAAAGGAACAAAGCTGTTAATGCTGTTCTGCAAACGTTTCTGCAAGAATTGGTACAATGAGAAGTCACTCTGTGTGGTCACAAAGGGGGTTCCACGGCAGTTTTCAATACATCCATGTGCACTAGAGGTTGCCCACACTCTCTCGTGGAACAGAAGGCCATAGTTTTCTCCAGCTTTTCTCATTGCTTTTCTCCAGCAATGTTCTAGCACGATGTCTAAAAATGGCTTTCCAGGAGCAGAAGACTCCCTTTGTGTGTAGAATGGGGGTCCCCTGTGGTCCGATATCTCTACAAAACAATTTATCCTTATTTCTTGTTGCCAAGCTTTCTGTTTCTTTGCTGCCCCTGGAAACCCTCGCCTCTCGAGCAGTGATGAAACAAAGGGTCTGCTCACAGTTACACCATCCAGCTTTCACAAGTGCTCACCTTGTTGTACTTCATCTCTCGGGAGGAATAACTCACAATAACAAAAATGTGAACAAGCGTCACCGACAGTAAGTCAACATAAGTCAATAGCAAATTGTTGTGAACGCTCGATAAACTTTTGAATTGGAACAGTCCTAGAGGGGACCTTCTGTTCTAACCCTTTGCGGATTTGTGAGTGGCTACAAGCCCAAATCTGACCTGGATAGCCAAGGCTTGCCTGATCTCATCAGATCGCGGAAGCTAAGCAGGGTCAGCCCTAGTTAGTATTTGGATGGGAGACCACCAAGGAATTCCAGGCAGGCAATGGCAAACCACCTCTGAACATCTCTTGTCTTGAAAACCCTACAAAGTTAGCATAAGTCAGTTGCAACATTACGGCCAAACCCCCCGCCATAAGTCAGTTGCAACATTACGGCCAAAAAAAACCCCAAACAAAACTCCAAAACAAAACCCAGACACTAAACAGGTTCATTCTTCATTCAGGTGAGGAGGATGGACTCTTTTCTCCCCTGGAAGAACTCCTGTCTTTTTAACAGCTGTACCTGCATGTTGGACAGAAAGGAATCCAGCTGGTGAATGGTTTCTCCCAGCATGCTGATGAATTGATGGGAAAGCTTGGGGGGGGAGTCTAGTTCCAGCCCAACCACGATTACTACCATGATGTCAAATTTGTCGTTTAAACTGCAATGGAGAAATAAGATCTCAGGATTCTGTGAAGACCCTTTCATTCCTAGAGAGAGGAGAAGCCGTAAGGGCTGAAGGGCAACGGGCAGGCGGGCAAAAGGGCATCCCTGGATGAATCTTGTTTGTGAGTTTTGAATAGCAAATGCTGACCTTTAAGTTGGGTAGATCTGCTCTCTGTGCTATCATGATGTTTTCCAGCATGGCCCATTCTATTGCCATTGGCAGCAGTGCCCCACTGCCCTGCCCAGGTCTGTCTTTATTTCCAGTTTATCCCTGTGACCTTTGAGTCTCCATCCCTCCCACCTTCCTGTTCTCTTAAGCCACTGTCTCCCATCATTTCTTTTTAGGGTCAACTCACTGCTCTCTCTGTCTGCCCCCTCTGATTCCGCTCAAAGCCCTTCCCTTGGCCAGGAAGCCATTG